AGTTGGACTGCGGTTGACTATTCGTACTGTACGGCGGGTTGTTGACGTGTCCGGTAGGTCCGGGGCGTGACAATAGTGTTTGGAAATATACAAGGTGAACCTAGGTTAATGTAATGCATGTTGTTTGGATGAAGGTACTCTAGCTCATCTTATGTCAAACGAGAACTTAACCTCCGAAACCGCCCGATTCGGAGGTTTTTCAATTTAAGGTTCTTTCAAGTTCTCGGGAGTTAAGTGAAGTTAACACATAACCTAGGTTCTTGTTGCAAAAATACAAACAAACGGGTTTAACTAGAAATTGAACCTTCAATAACCTAGGTTAACCCCCAAACAAACATGTCATAAGGTTATAGCAAAATCTCAATTTTGACACTAACGTTCTTTTTTAACCAAAAAGCCCAGAGAAAATTGCTATACGGGAGACTAAATCATACACATTTTACCAAAATAAGACTTGGTCATGTTTTTCTCATCCGTATGATCTATTTAGTACTATTTTAAGAAACTCTTATTGTTGCTTTCCAGTTTTACCCTTCACCGCAATACTCCAAATTAAAAATAAAAAACAACTTCTGCATCTCACCTGTCTCTCTCGTCTCGCACGCCCTGCAAGTATACGACGTCGATTTTGGTATTGTTATAAGCTTCTCTCGGCAACGACTCCAAGGCTGGGATCTGCTGGTTTACCCATTCCCCAACCCTTTCTAGAACCTTCAAACCCTTTGCTACGACCACCAGCCCGGCCACAGAACCCGAGTACTTCTCCAACATCATGGCTTCCGTAATCGGATGCTAGATCACCTATGTTGCTTCATTGTGGAGTTTCTCGACAACCTCTCGTTGTAATTTCATCATTGGACATAGTGAATTGTGTGTATATATTGTTTTACTATCGGAGGCATAGTGACCAAATCTTTGACAATTATAGCATTGAATTTGAGGTTTATCATACCTTGATCTTGAAGACCCCTCTCTTCCTCGGCCTCTTGATGGATAGAAATTTGGACCTCTTTCTTCATTGTTGAAGGTCTTGTAGCTACCTCTTCCATAGCTTTGACTTCGACCACGCCCTTTTGAATTTTGATTTCTTCCATCTTGAAAAGTCTCTTTATGCCTTAGGGTGAGCTTGGTTTGAAGGGCTTGCTCCAATGGCTCTTCTTTTATCCTCTTCTTGAATTTTTCTTCATTAGCTTGAAGAGATCCCAAGAGTTGATCGACCGTCATAGTTTCTAGATCTTTAGATTCCTCTATTGCCACAACTATGTAATCATATTTTGGATCTAAAGACCGTAGAATTTTTTCAACCACACGGTTATCTTTAATTTCTTCTCCATTTCTCCTCATTTGAGTAATGACGCCTTGAACTCTTGAGAAATAATCATCAATGGATTCCGAAGAGTTCATTCTTAATGATTCAAATTCACCTCGAAGAGTTTGGAGTCTTACTTTCTTCACTTTATCTACTCCTTTGAAAGAATTCTCCAATATCTCTCATGCTTCTTTACTTGTAGTCGCACACACCACCTTTGTGAACATTGCTTCATCCAAAGCTTGATGGATGATGGAGAGCACCTTTTGATCTCTTTTTTAATATTTCTAAAGGCATTCTTTTGAGTTTGATTTAAAGCATTGACGTTTTCAGGTTCCTCGAAGCCTTGCTATATCATGTCCCATACATCTTCCGAACCAAGTATTGCCTTCATACGGATGCTCCATTTATCATAGTTCTCCTTTTTTAGTAGAGGAACTTGAAGGGAACTGACCATTTTTGGGTGATGACCGAACGGGCTCTGATACCACTATTGGAAATAAGTGAAGGAAGATTTTGGAAATCGGGAGGCTAAATTAACATATTATGGAAGAGATATTTGAACAAAGGGGAAGAACTCTTTTTATTAGAACAACTCAAATTGGCTTGATTTGCTTGATACAAAATGGTGGTAGGGAAGCTCTATTTATACTAATACAAAAGTATATAGACTCTTCTGCTATTAATGAATTCTACTCAATTCTACACAATTAATATTAGGAGAATTCTAGAGACCGCACTTTCTAGAGAAGTTCTAGAATTCATTCCTTCTACACTTTTCTACTACTTGGGCCTTCCCTACAACAACTAAAATAAATATTAATTAGGCCCAAAATATAAAAACAAGTTTAATTTTCAACAACAAATAACACAAAAAGCTTTCAGAGGTGTTTTTCCGATCCATTTAAAAGGTTAGTGGCATATACGTCAGTGACTAATTTGGACTTTCTCCCTTTTCTCAATCTACTTTTGTTATACTTTTTTTTCACTCCCCTCGTTTTTCTTCTTATTACTTCTTTTTTTTTTTTTGTATTTTTCTTCTTGTTACTTTTTTAGTATTTTTTCTTCTTTCTTCTTGTTAACTTAATTTCATCATCAATATATTTGTTCTCCTTTTTTGCATCATCGTATTTTTCTAAGTTAGTCAATCCATTAATTCTATCAATTACGGGAAAAACTATTTATGATAAATAAAAAAGGTTAGCTAGGGAAAAAATGAAATATAAAGAAAAAGAAAAATAAGCAGGCAAATTAAGAAAAAATGATGTATACTCTTTATATGAAAAGGGATAGAAGCTAAGGTAGAGAAATTAGCTTAAGCTGGGAAAAATCAAGAAAAACTCTAAAACAACAAGTCAAAAGTCACTAACATGTAAAAACTAGCTAGCAAAAAGGATGAGGTGAAAAGGGACAAAGAAAAAAAAGACTTCTAAGATGTCGAAAATGGTAAAAAGAAGAAAAAAGAGAAGAAAAGGAAAAAAATGAGTTATGCGGGTTAAAGATCTTTAAAAGAGAATCAACTGAATACTAATATATAAAAAGGAATATAGTAAAAATGTGAAAGAAGAACATACATAGAGCAGAAATTCTACAAAAAAAGATTTCCTGACAAAGTAGAAATTTATAAAAGTGCTGAAATAATAAGAAAATAATAAGGAAATATATGATAGATAAAATATATAAAAAATAATAAGAAGATGGAAAAATGTGAAAAAACTACTTGAGATAGATGATAAAACAAAGCGAGAATTTTTTTGGTGAGAAAAAAGAAATATGATGTACGGGATTGTTTTATATAGATCGGTGAAAGGTGGTAGGATTATTTATGTAAGATTTTCAAATAAAAATAAAAAACCTAATATAGTAGGTCGCCGACTAATAAGGGACCAATGAAAGAAAATGAGTTGAAAAATATGTGATTATTCCAGGATAATGTAAAAGTGATATTAATTTAAGAAACCCGATGAAAGGTGGTATTATTTAAAATCACTTCTCATCATCTTTTCCTAACTTCAATTTCCTCCTTAAAGGTTTTCCTGTGTGGCCTGACGTATTCTCATATACGGCCTCCGTGAAATCTTCTCTCATATACGGCCTCCGTCAAATCTTCAAATTGACGTTCTTCAATTGATACTAATTTCCCTATTGAATTCCCAATAAGTTTTGCAAGTTTAATTTTGTAATAAAAATCTCATAGGTAAATTATGAGCTTGAAGCCAAAAATCAACATCATTAGTTAAAGAGACCTTCATATGCAATGCAATTCACTTACCTATAAAACGTGCAAAACTTAAAAAATTTGCTCGAACATTCGTGGATCATTCTCAGGCGCATGTTTCATATCAATCACATGATAAAAAGATACTACGTAAAAAGTAAATAGTTACCTTTTGTTTAATTGAAACGCTTTTTACTTGTTCACATATCGATGCTATAACATCTTCAAAGAAAGGAAACTTAATCGTTTTGTCAGTCGTTCCAATCATTGAGAGTGCTGCACCCTTGTCTTCTCCATCCACCGGTTCCTCGTCTACATCTATAGTGATCGAGGCCTTCATTATCTTCCTCTAAGACCATTTCTTGATAGTTATGCACAAAACCAATTATAGTTGTCATCTTGGATATTCACGTGTCCACGATTCTAGGGGTGTTTGGAACTGATTCTGCTTCTGCTTCTTTTTTAAAAGCAGAAGCAGAATCAGAATCAGTTTTCAGAAGCTGGTACCTCTCAGCTTCTAAAAAAAACTGATTCTGAGAGTAAATTAGAGCTGCAGAAGTGCTTCTGGAATTTCACCCAAACACTCCACTTTTGCTTCTGCTCCCTGAAGGAGCAGAATCAGTTTTGAGAATCAGATCCAAACACCCCTAGTGTATTGTCGTTGCTACGTCAGGCGGTAGTCAACGACCCAACAAAAGTCGTTCACCAGTCAAAAATCAACAGAAAGCCAAGAAACCAAAGTCGAAAACAAGCAGAAACGTAACGTCCACACCAAAATTCTCCCTTCGTGCAACCTCTACTGCCGTAAGCCACCCACAAAACTTACACCAAAGTACTTCATGTGTACAATCTCTAAAGCCGGGAGTCAAACAACATAGCATTTGTGTGAGAGGGTCTAAGAATTATAGTCACTGCACAGAAGAAGTTAAATAACTCGAATTTAATTTTATTTAAACACTTGTATAGACAAAGCTCTATGATCGAAAAAAGGTTTTTTTAGGGACACGTAGCAAATCAGCCCTCGAACTAACTTATATAGTGCAAATCACTCCTTTTATAGGAGACTCTGTTCGACCGTCGGCATTTTGGACAGTTCCCGGTGGAATTTTTTGAGCATCTTCTTCATTAAGTCTAGTTTATCCATACCAAATGTATGCTAAAAATTCAATCAAAATATAATCAAATGAATTTTTAAAAATAAGTGCGCAATCAAACTTTGGCTAAAGATTTTTATATGCTCCCTCCGTCCCATTTTACCTGTCCTACTTTCCTTTTTGGCCTGTCCCAAAATAAGTGTCTACTTTCCTCTTTTGGAAAGAAATATGTGATCTACACCATTTCAATTTATTATACTCAAATCTTAACTACAATTTTTACTTTTTCAACCACTTCATTAATAACCGTGTCAAGTCAAACTAAGACACGTAAAATGGGACGGAGGTATATAAATTTAAATCAGGTCAAATGTTGAACCGGCCCGTGAGCCACCTACCAATAGCAACTCGGAATTCGTTGAGAAAAAAAGGGAAAGCTGTCTGATTCCGTTTGTATGGTAAACAACAAGGCAGACACAGAGTTGAAATGTCGGTGCACTCCGAATCTCCTCCAACCAAACACGAAGCAGGGGTAATCACCTGCAAAGGTAATAATCACTTCTTACTCTGGATTTTCGCGGGAGGAAAATAAACTCTCGATTCATTCATTCAACAATAACAATTCACCAAAAGCTTGATTGAGGTGTTGGCTGAACTGTGCAGCGGCGGTGGCATGGGGCCCAGGGGGGGCATTGGTGATGGAGGAGGTGGAGGTGAGCCCTCCGCAGGCTATGGAGATCCGTATAAGGGTTGTCTGCACTTCTCTCTGTCGCAGTGACCTCACCGCCTGGCTCTCTCGCCCTCCCTCCCCTCTCTATCCTCGGATTTTCGGCCACGAAGCTTCAGGGTTAGTTCGCATCTTCCTCTCGATCTCTTCATTTTCCCTAAATTGAGCTTTAAGTTTACATATTCTAAAAGTAGGAGCAGTTTTGATTTTTTTTCACCCGCAGTAGCTAGCAAATTTTCATCGAACTTTTAGACAAAAAATGTCATTTTTAGTAATCTCGTAATGATAATGGTAGTAATTGTATCGCAAGAGTTAGTTTTTGTTTTTGTTTTTTTACATATTGTCTTCTGTTTGGGATTAAGGCTTGGATGTTTTTTTTACCGAGTTAGCCAATTGATCTTCGGTTTTGGATAGCGCTGCTCACAGGGTTTTGGAGGCTTGTATTTTACAATGTGAGATAAATGCAAATAAAGCACATAACCAAAATTCATCAGTTGTGAAAATCAAGAAAGTACTTTTTTAATGTAACCTTTTAAAAATACGCCAAAAAAGTGCTCATTTCCTATAACCCACTCTCTTCTTGTTTTTAGAATAGCTGAACCTGTAAGAATTTTCATTTGATAACATAGACAATTGATTATGTAACCTCATTCCTCTAAGCAAATCAAGCATTTATTATGTAACCTCATTCCAATCTAGAATTTTAATTAGCACGTAGCATGTTCACTAATGAGGATCTAGGTGATAAGGTTACCGTATTAAGCATATGTGTTAATTAAGTATATTAAATTAATATAAATGAAGTATCATATATTGAATTAGTAAATATGTAGAACTAATCAATTACTTTCATATGGAAAGGCGGTAAAACTCCTTAATAGGTAATAACTAAGTATCATAGGTGAGAAGGTTTGAAAATAACTCCTATTTTTTTAAAAAAAAAAAAAACTTAAAACACCTATTTGTGGTAATTTCTCATTCATTAATTAGTTCCCAAATGTCCATTATTCTTGGTGCTGAAATTGTACCCACTTGCTTTTCTAGTTCTCTGCAGTAGGGTGCCAAGCAGTGATATTTTTCCCAAGTGGGGGCAAAAACTTTTGAGTGGCCTAGGCTGGTTCCCTTGGTCTGGAAAGGTCTGGGAATTGAATTCCAGGCCCATTACACGTTCTGGGGTGGTGCAAGCCCTTGGTAGATTTGGGTCTGTTCCTTGTGTGCCGGGCCGATATACCAACACTTCTATTATTCACTTTTTCCCAGGGGTCTTTTGGCCTTGTGGGGTATTAATATTAGTCTTTCTTGTATGTCTCCTTTGCAAACTCTCTTCCTATTGTTATTGTGTGTGCTCATAGGTTTATCATTGTAACTTGTAAGTATAAAAAGTTGGCGTACATTGCCAACATATTTGTATTAACTTTTTAGGTATTAAAAGAAGCAAGTAAATTTAAATTTAAATATGTTTTCCACGGACGCATATTTAAAATTGTGTCTCCAATTTTTGGATATTAATGTTTTGAGACTGTTTTTTTTGTAAGCCTAATGAAGAAAACATATATGGACCAATATGTATTTTGTTAGATCTCACCTCGATGTCCTTTAAAAACACAACCTAACATTGTCATCGACTATTCCTTCGGTTATGTTGGTGTCTTCTATTAGATTGATCTTTTAGGACAAAACCTAATGTCGTTAATAGATCATGATATGCCGAGACGAGCAATTCAAATCTAGCAACCATAAAACAACCAAACATAGTTTAAAACTTGTCTGCTCTGAAGAGTCATCATGCGGGACATGTTAAGTCATCTAACATATACAAGTATGAAAGATGAAAGTTGGTAGGGCTAGCTAAAAATTATGCTATAGTGCCCAACATGTACGATTAGAAACTATCTGATAGAAACCTCCAAAATCCAGAACAGTTTACAGAAAGAAGATCAAGAAACAAACTGAAAATGTTTATTGAAGAAGATCAATAGTAACAGTAACAAGGCCGAAGCCCCCAAAGAGAAGAGACGGATAATCTCTAATCTTCCCAGTCCCAGACCTAAAGTCCAAAAGCCTGCTTTCTAATTCCCTTACCCGTCTATTTATACTAGGGTACTCAGACCCTTATTACTAATATTATTATTAATACTTCTATTATTAGTCTAATATAAGTGGGTTCCTATCAATACACCCTCCCTAAACAACCACCTTGTCCTCAAGGTGGGATGATAGGAACCAATTCTGCAATTCCGCTTCCTCCGGGTGCCTCTCCCCTCCCAATATCTAGCTGGTGGTGGTGTCATACTTTTCCAAACTTCTAGTCCTCTATGAAAAACTCCTGATCAGCCTCAGCCTAGCATTTGCTTCTGACTTCACCCTATCTCTTGATTGAAACTTCACACTGAATATCTCATGCAGAACTTCATTCACACACATGTCAGAAGAAGGTCCAAGAGAAATTGAGTCATACTGTGTTTCTATATTTGAATTTAAGAACTCAACAATCTCCAATTGTATTCCCCAATCCTGACCCCGAAGTAGCATTTGTTCCATGATATTGCACTCCCTTCTATCAAACTTAAGACTAGGCCCATTCCTTTTGTAAACTGCACCCATCAGCATCAATACTTGACCATTCATCTTCATTTCTTTCACCCTTGAAATTCCTCTCCATTCCCATAGTTCCTGCTTCTTGCTTTGAATACTTATCCTGGTATTAGGATCACAAGAAACTCCGCTCACAGCTTTGATGTCATCAATTGGTAAAGGTTTCAACCATAGTGGCGGAAGATCTGGTGAATCAATAACCAATTCTTCATGATGTTGTCGTGGTTTGGTCCACATTTGCCTAACATAAGGTAAAATGTGAACATCCAAAGGCTGTATGCTACCAGGAGCCCTAATAACTGGAGTTTGCTGGTAACTCTTTGGGTTCAACCTCTGTAAAAACCTTGTGAAGACTTTATAAACCTCAGGAAGTAATAGGTTATGAGCTGTCATTGCATAGATGTCTCCCAACAATTGATAACTTTCATTTACTCTAAGGGAATTATGTAAGTCAGGCTTGGGGTAGTCTAACATGCTCTCAACCCATGGCTGTAATTCTGCTTGTTGTAATTCGAGGTGTTGGCCATGGCTAGATTTATCAGCAGCATTAATCTGTGTGCGGTTTCCCCGGGTGATAGCAGATTCTTCAGAAAAAAGATAAACATGATCCTTATGAATCTTTGGATCAGACTTTTCAGGAACCATTAGGACTCTTTCCTCCCTGATTTCATCTTCCTTATTCCTTTGCTTGATTACAGGTTCAGTTGGTTCCATCTTGATTACAGGTTCATTTGAAACTGATGATTCAGCCGGATTCCATCTTGATTCGGAAACCTGGGACAAAAGTTTTGATGACATCTGCAAATCAGTAAAAATTCCTTCTGATGACGATTGAAGATGATGATTATATAGCGAGCTGGTCAAAGCGGTACTCGATTTCAAACATGGAGTAACATTAATTCGCTTAGGAGATTGCGAGCTGGAAGTTCTTCGTGATTTGGATGACTCCTGTTTTGCCGTCTTCCCTGTCTTCTGCCGGTGTCTAGGTGGAAAATCCCTAATCAAATCTTCTTTTAGTGCACCCCAACTGTCTTCTCTCTTGTGAAAATCCCACCATTGAAAATTTGAAACCAGCCATCTGCTTCTTCCCCCATAGCCTTTGCAGCCACGTCCACTTTAAATCTTTCTGCAATAGCTTGGACTTGGAAATATCTTTCCATCCTCCCAATCCATTCATATGCTTCATGCTTGTAGAATAGAGGTAGTTCCTCCTTCTTTGAAATAGCCGACTTCCGAGAATTGACTTTTGACGAGGAATGTGAACTGTGAGAATCCTTTGGCGACGAATATGATGATTCTCCACTCCCTAGCTTCTTTCTTGAACGCATATTTATATCTGAGGAGTAAGTCTGCGAGTGGAGAGAAATTGTTCGCTTCTGTGAATAGTGATCGGAAGTTCGCGAGTGCGAGCCAAAATAAGTAGTTCGCGATCGCGAACTGGAAGATGAGGTTCGTGACTGCGAAATATGAGAAGTTCGCGATTTCATCTGCGAATCCGTCGATGATAGCGGCTCATGGCTGAAGTTCCTCAATCGATCTCCAGGTCTTCTGCGAAGACTCTGTTCTTCAGATTCTTCTGAGTCGATCGGATGTTGCGTACGTCGATGAAGAGAATCGCGATGCGACCTATGCGATTTGTGCGATCGATTCCGCGAACAACTTTTAAGTCGGTTCTGCAATTCTGCGATGCCAGCTTGCATCGTCGCTTGCATATCAGCCATCATCGTCGCTAACCTAGCGTTTGACTCCCTCATCAGTCGGTCAATATTATAAAAACTCTCTTCCATTTGAGGTGTCATGTAGAAATCCTCCTCCATGCTTCAGATTCTCCGTCTCCAGGAAGTAAGTCTCTGATACCAATGATAGAAACCTCCAAAATCCAGAACAGTTTACAGAAAGAAGATCAAGAAACAAACTGAAAATGTTTATTGAAGAAGATCAATAGTAACAGTAACAAGGCCGAAGCCCCCAAAGAGAAGAGACGGATAATCTCTAATCTTCCCAGTCCCAGACCTAAAGTCCAAAAGCCTGCTTTCTAATTCCCTTACCCGTCTATTTATACTAGGGTACTCAGACCCTTATTACTAATATTATTATTAATACTTCTATTATTAGTCTAATATAAGTGGGTTCCTATCACTATCCTTCATATAGTATATAATAGTATGTAATGTAAAGTTTGCCTTCCTCAACTCCAACTTGCATATAATAGATTCTAGTCCAGGGAAAGAAAATGGGCAACATTCCTTTCCTTGTTCTGGAAGGGTGAAAAGTCTCTTACCATGATGGGCCCCCTCCCCAGCCCACCCCAAGGCGTGTGAAAAAATGCGACATTCTCCACTAACTAATACAATTACATACATTTTTCAGGATTGTGGAGAGTGTGGGGCAAGAGGTCACAGAATTCGTAGAAGGGGACCATGTCCTCACATTGTTCACAGGGGAGTGCATGAGGTGCAGAAACTGCATTGCAGGCAAAACCAACATTTGCCAAGTTCTTGGACTTGAACATAAAGGAGTCATGCACAGTGACCAAAAGACACGCTTCTTTCTTAAAGGGAAACCGGTGTATCATTATTGTGCGGTCTCAAGTTTTAGTGAGTATACTGTTGTACACTCAGGCTGTGCTGTCAAGGTTAGTTCTGTTGCTCCACTCGAGAAAGTATGCATCCTCAGTTGTGGTGCTGCTGCTGGTAATTTTTCTCAACCCAGTCCTTTTACTTAATGAAGTGGAGTATTTGATATTTTATTGGTGGTGTCAAGGTTAGTTATTATTCTCTAATAACCAAATCCTTTTTTCTAGACCAGACCCTCAGACCCTATTCATGGATTAACGAGAATGTGCAAAAGCTCACAAAGGTGTAAGATATATATGTATGAGTATTGAGGACCGGAAATGCATGAGTTACATCCAATTTAACATCGTATAGAGTCAGCTCCAGTGGGGTGCCAGCTCACCTGATGGTTTAGGACACCATATTTGGGGTCCAACTGTCCATCTTTTAGTTAAGGGGTGTGTTGAGGTATCCCACCACATTTGTCTACTAGATTTTAATCTAGTATATATGTTTTTATTCCCGAGATATGACTAATTACTGCCATGTTTTGGCAATACCGAACTTTAAACATGGCAGTATTTTTCAATGGTAGTAATTACTCCAATTTAGGGAATGAAAACATGACAGTCCTATTTTGGAATTCCAAAACGTTTTTACTCCTATTTCGGGAATTTTCCCCAAAAGTAATCTTCTTTAACATTGTTCTAATAAGTATGGTAGAAATGTAGGTGCGTTGCCGGAAAAGTGCACATTTACCATAAAACAAAACATAGAGTTCATTTTATGTTGAGCAACTTACTATATACTCCCTCCATCCCGCTAAGATTGTTTCATTTTATCTTTTCGGGAAATCCCACTAAGATTGTCCCATACCAAATTTGGTAAAGTTTGTGTGGCTCTAAATTATTCTTACTTTGTTCTTACTTTATCAATTCAATATCAACCACATAAGCCCACTTTTCTTAATAACCATGCCACCTGTTCTTGTAGTCTTATCCCAATGTTAGTTGGACGGAGGTAGTACTTCCTCCATCCCAAATTCATTTTCAATTTGTGGTTTTAAAAATTGACTTGCGATAAAGTTAAAGCTTCCCTGTAGATAATTTTATCAGTTTTACTAATTCTGAAACTACATTGCAAATCTCTACAAATTTGCAAAATCCAAATCTAAATATAATAAAAATTGATATACATAATAAGTAAATAAAACCAAAGTGTGTTGACCAAGAAAAATAGACTTCGGAAATCATATTGGGATTGAGGGAGTAATAATTAGGATCCTTTGCACTTCTGTGGCAAATTATGTCTGAAGGGAAGCATTGCGTACGTGCCTTGAAATTCTACAATATATTGCAAAATCAACACCTATGGCAGTGCCTCTTTGAGCCCCAACATTACTCATATGTTGGATTTTTCGTATTGGTGCCTTTCACACCATCTCTTCAGCAGTGGTTTCTCACAAAACCTTGCTATTATCATTGTCACTTTTTGTTGGTAATTGCTGAGGGATTTTGAAGTGTGCATTACCAATTACCAGGTCTTGGAGCTGCATGGAATGTTGCTAATGTTTCTCGAGGATCTAAAGTTGCTATCTTTGGTCTTGGAACTGTGGGCCTTTCTGTGAGTTTATTCATTTATATCATCCTATTTATCAGTATTTAAGGTATAAGTTTTTATCGGTACAGCAGGATGATAGTTCATGGCTTCATTCATTGAGTAGGTAGCTCAAGGTGCTAAACTGCGGGGAGCTTCTCAAATAATTGGAGTGGACACTAATCCGCAAAAGAGAGAAATAGGCAAGGAATTCGGAGTAACAGACTTTTTAAACCCAAACGACACTGCTGAACCTATTCAAGAGGTGTGTATATTACACTTCCAAATATGAACTGTGTGAACGAAATCTATTAAACGATTTTAAAAACATGCTTGAGAATACATGCTCACTGGGCAGCAGAGCAAGGGCCAACACCTGATCGAAGACTGATCAGGGGCCTAAGCAAGAAAAAAGCGTAAGGAACTAATCAGAGCGTAGCAGTCTAGCACCTAGATGGGTGGGTATAATAATTGGGGTCTGGCAGGAAGAGATTTTCAAAACAAAATACATATGTGACTGAAAGTTTCACTCTTTGGGAGGGGGCGGGAGGCGCAGGATGTAGCATTCATGATTCAGTGTACAAACTGATGCTGTGCTTGACTGCTTGTAAAGACAGTTCTGTAGCATTCATGATTCAGTGTACAAACTGATGCTGTGCTTGACTGCTTGTAAAGACAATTCTTCCATTTACCAGGTAATAAAGCGTTTGACTGATGGAGGTGCAGACTTCTGTTTTGAATGTATAGGGGACACAGATATGGTAACCACTGCTTTGCAATCTTCTTGTGATGTAAGTACCCATGAAGCTGTGATATACACATCAAACATTTACAAACAGCCCCCTTTTGCTCAAAAAAATTATCATCCCTTTCTATCATTTTGCATGCCATAGGGATGGGGCTTGACTGTGACCCTTGGAGTACCAAAGACGAAGCCGGAGATAAGCGGCCACTTTCGATTTTTTCTTACCGGTAGAAGATTGACAGGATCTCTTTTTGGTGGCTGGAAACCTAAGTCGGACATCCCATCATTAGTTGACATGTACCTTAACAAGGTAAGATTTAATCTTGATGTTTTTACTCTTACGTCCAGCAATCGTGAGGGGCCTTTTTGTTAGATATTAGTAGCTTTGATTTACCATACTAGTGGTCTGTAATTTGCTGTGAAGCTGCTGTTTGGCGGTTTTTTTTAATATAGAATCAAGGCCATGTGAAATTCATTAGATGATTGTTCGTCTAATTCTATATTTCTTGTGTTGGACACAGGAAATCCACATTGATGAGCTGATAACGCATAATCTGCCATTCGAGGAAATAAACAAAGCTTTTGATTTGATGACACGAGGAAAATGTTTGCGCTGTGTCTTACACATGCCTACTAAGTAACCCTTACCCTATTTCTAGACTTCTCTTAGAAAGAGTTGTGGTCATCCAAAATTAGAAAGGGTTGTTATTTTTTCCTTTCCTTGCTCTTGTGCAGCGCTTGAAATGATTTTTTGTAACTAAACATGTAATATGTTTTGATTTTTCATGTCAAACGGATTTAATTTTGAGCTCATGGTTTTTTTAACTCGTTCTATAGCTGTTAATTTCAGAGTGTTACCAGACAAACATCGTAAAATCATTATTAACCAAGACATGTTTAAATTGGTTTGTGGCTTTGTGCGATTGTAGGGGTGGACTCGGGTCGGGCGGCCTGGCCCGGTACCCAGTCTTGGAGCCGGTTCGGGCCAACCGGAACCGGTCAGTTCCCGGTGCGGGCTCGGGCCTTGAAAATGGTGAACCGGCCCAGCCGGTTCGGGCCAAATTTATTTATTTTTTTGTTTTTTCAATTTTTTTTAGTTTCTACTGGGTAGGGCTGGGTGTTTTGGGGGGGGTTTGGGGGTGGGGGGGTTAAGGGAGGGGGGGGTCGGGGGTAATTTAGAAAAACATAAGGAAAAAAAAAAGTAACTTAAACCGGAAACCGACCCGGCCCGGAACCGCCGGCTACCCGGGCCGGTTCCGGTTCCCTACTTCCCAAACAAAAGCCCGGCCGGGTCCAGGCCCGAACCAGAACCGGACCGGCCCGGGTCCATCCCTATGCGATTGCTTTGCTCACAGGACTAGCTTTACCGCAAATAGAAGAAAATTGTGCTTAAAACCAGAATTCATCAACATAGGTCAATAGTCATGTATAGGCGGTCTAGCTGACCAGCCACCCTTTCCACCACTGCGTACTGTACTTTATTTGAAGTTCCTACTACTGTGTAGTCATGGACCTGGGCCGGGCCGGTTCCGGGCCGGTTCCGGGCCGGGCCTAACCGGGCTTTTTTTTGGGAAGGAAGGTTCGGGACCGGTCCGGGTAGCCACCGGGTCCGGGCCGGGCCGGGCCTCCGGTTCGGTCATAATTTTTTTTTTTTTTTTTTTTGCTTTCCTAACCCCCCCCCCCCCCCCCCCCCCCCACCCCCCCACAAACCCCCAAACCCCTCCTAACCATCAAGCCCAACCCGGCTAACCCCAAAAAATGAAAAAAAAAATGAAAAAAAAATCAATTCGGCCCGGGCCCGGGCCTGACCCGGCCGGGCCGGTTCGCCAAATACAAGGCCCGAGCCCGGACCCGCCCCCCCCCCCCACCGGGCCTAGGCCCGACCCGGACCCGAGAACCGGGCCGGTTCTGGGCCCGCACAGTGGCGGGCCGGGCCGGTCCCGGGCCGGGCGGCCCGAACCGGGTCCATGACTACTACTGTGTAGACATGGACCCTGTGCCTACCCGGGTCTCACATTGTTTGGGCCTGGAACATCTCTCTTCTTTCTGGTTTTAGGTATAGGACAACCCTTGTCCTCCCAAGAGGGGTACCTGGCCCCAGTTCACAGATTTAGGGACCGAATCAAGCATTTTTGTTGTGATGGCTATTTTTTTTGTTTCAGCCTTGGAAGTTGAAACCGGTCAAAATTAAAAATATACTACCTCCCTCCCGAATTGATTTGCAAATTTTGACCGGCACAAGGATTAAGGAATGAAAATAAATGATGCTTGCTTTTTACACTTTTGTCTTTTATCCTAAAAGTGGATGTCCTTAAGTTGATGGAAAAAAGTAAAAGGGTAAATTTGTCACTTTACTTTTATTTACATACCTAAAATAGAAAGTGGAAAACCATTTTGGGACAACCAAAATAGGAAATTTTGCAAAATAAATTGGGACGGAGGGAGTATATATAATGGGACCAGGTTCGAAACCAGGATTGAACCAACTGAGTGCTCAGAACCGGCTCATACTCGAAAATAACTAGGTCGGATCCGGACTTCATCTGAAAATGAAAAAGAAAAGTAAACATACCCAATGACTGATGAGGAGACGAACCACCTTTTATCACAACACCATGGGTGATATCTAATACAACAGAGCATTTCTAGTTATCATAATAATGCATATATGATGATACATTAGGCACTTATACACTTCTATAGTTAGAATTATTTATTTAGCAAAAAATATCAGACCAGAATACACCGGAATCAAGACTGACTGCTTGACCATGAGAGATTAGAAATCGAATCAATAAAGGTCAGTCATGAGCTCCCACAAAATTTTTTTAAGGACCGACTAGTCATTGACCAGGACAAAACCAACTTGTGTACACCCCTAATGTGATTTAGTGTGCACTTTTAATTGTTCAAATACGTGAGATTTTCATATTACCAACCACCATATGAGCCAAGTTTTTTATTAAACAATTTTGATTATTCAAGTAAATTTAAAATTACCTATCTAACTAAATTGATTAATTTTGATGGAGAAATATGTTGCTTTCATCTTGGTTCATTCAGTTATTCCTTTATTTAATTAATAAGATACTACCATTTGATGTATTTCCTTTTGATTTGGAACAATTATTAATAAAATTATTAACATTTAAAAGAGTACAAATTGTGATTATAATTTGACTACAATAAAGTGAATTACTGTGAATCACATATTTCTTTCTAAAAAGGAAATGTCACATTTCTTTTGAGACAGGAAAAAAGGTAAGAATGACTAATAAAATGGATCAGAAACTGTATTTTAGTTTTTTTTATAATTCTATATTTTTCCTTTATTTTCTCCTATTTCAACAAATTGAACCAATTCAGTAAACATTTGAATGTTGCCAAAAGGGGTCTCAACTCTCAATGTGCCATGCATAAGATGCAACATTTCAACATAGCACAAATTCCATGGTCATATCTGTACTGAACGCCAAAACAAAACCAAGGACCGCTAGTATGATTTGATCCCTACATGAGAAAGAAATTCAAATCATTTCCCAGTACTTGGGTTGCTAATTAACACCCCCTATTACAGAGTTACGATATTTTAAAATACGGGGTAAAACGTAGATAACTTTTGTCTGTCACTAAAAGCACATGGTAGGAAACTGTTATTCTTCATCTTCTTCATCACCATCCTCATCGCCATCTTGTTCTTTATCATCATCTTGAGAGTCATCACTCTCCTGCAATACATCTTAGAATTCAGAACAATGGTCCACATACGCCTATAGAGTACAGTATAGGCTACCACTGGCTTAAACATTTGCTTCACTGCATCTTTTTATTGATTTAACCCCACATAATTCAACTACATCCTAATATCCTATCATACCCCAAGGTAATACAAGTCATGGTAGTCAAATGATACCACCACTAAACACAGTACACATGCATCTCAATTGCAACCCAGTTTCATAAACATCAAAAGAATGTGAAAGTATTCAAATTCATGGGAGTAAAATATAAAGTGACAGAATTTTTAAAGCAGGACTTGTTTCACAAGTTGGGAAAGTCTCAAGTGGGTAAAAGTGAGACAGAAGTCACAAGTGGGGAATATTTCTGAGTGACAATTCTTTGTTTATATTTTGGATACTTAACGAATTATATGTGTGTTGAATATAGGATTAAAATATTTATACACATACTGATATACACACTCAAGCATGCTTCCACACTTATATAGTGAATCACTTGTATATGTATGTACTTGAAAATATAATATGTACTAGTAAAAAAGTGATTCACTATATTACAAATGAATATAAATTTATATATAAAATGTAATTTGACTATAATAAAGTGAATCACTATAAGAGTCCGTTTGGTGACACCTTTTTTCGGCTTATCAGGCTTATCAACCAGATTTTTCACCAAACACGTAACTTTTACTTTCGCGTGCTGAATTGTGTAATAATAAGAAAAAGTAAGGTGAGAGTTACTTTTCTGGTTGTATTGGCTGAAGTTACCGTAGTGGATCATTTTAGCTATTTTTCATATAATTTTTATTTGATTTATTAATAACAAATATTTTAAATATAATTTCTTCATAAATCAGGAGAATCAGTCAATACAGCCACTTCAGCCAGAACTTCATAAATTTCAGCAGAATCAACCAATACAGCCAATTTCAGTGTTACCAAACGGCCTCTAAATGTCACATTATATTTATACATAATTGTATATTTTCAAGTACTATATATTCACACATATACATTATATAAGTATATATATAGCACTCTGTAAGATCTTACAAGTTACGCTTTTTATTTCTAGTACACAATCCTACATAGGATCTCTAGTAAAGTAGTAATGGTAATGGTCATTGGTCAGGACTGGGAGGTAGAAATGGGAATAAATATGGCAGACTGCAAATACAATTTCATTTTTGCTGTGATTATATCTCTAATTTGAGCTTTTCCTTCAGCTCTATTTTTCAACCCTTGGTTTATGCAAGACATGAAACAATTTTGACTGTAACCCTTGGTCATGAATACTGTGACTTGCATTGTCAATATTTGCTAATACTACCATATAATTTAAAAGCAACCAACTTCCAAAACAGCCAAGTAGATGATTGTTATTATTACAATAAAAATATATTCTAATTTCAGGGTTCCTACTGAGGAGGCAAAAGTCTAAAGATTAACAAGGGTGAGATCATTATTGACTGAATTCGGACAACAAACTGAAATAGATTGTTTAATTCGGTTTGCTTTTTTTGTTTCATGTTATTATTAACCGCAATTGGTCAGTTCAGTTTATTTAGCTTCTGTTCTTGTTTGTTAATTTTGTGAAGCTATAATTTAGAAAAAGAGAATATTCCGCTTTAGGTCCCATGTAATTAGGTCAGTCGCCATTTTGATCTGCAACTTTCATTTGGTTGCTTTTGGACTCTTGGTCCCACACTTATAGGCATAGTTGTCAATGGCGAGATATGGCGAGCGTCATATGCGCCATCGCCATGAAAAAGTGGTCGTCGCCATAGCGCAATATGCGCCGTATGCGCCATTCGTATATGCACCATCGCCATGTGCCGTGAAAAATGCCTTTGAGCCATGGCGATTCCTATGCGCCATGACAACTATGCTTATAGGTTTCTTGCCTCTTCTGATCCTTCCAGTTACTTGTACAATCAATAATCCCTACACTTTCCAGTTCATGTTTACTGGATAATCAGCCGGAGAGGACCAAAAGTGGCAAACACACACGAATTCACCAAAATAAAACAGAAAGTGAAAATTTTGGTCCGTTTGGATAAAAATGAGAATGCAACAAAACTCAGCAGCTCGGTGATTCAGAAGAAAACAGCCTTTTAGTG